TTGAACAGACGACTGTTGTGCCTACCAATTAATGACATTTCGGAAATCTCCGCCGATGTGAACAGGTAAGGGTGACCAGAGGTGGTCAATTGTTGTTGGTTCCTCGAGTATATGTGTTGATCACACGTTGTTGCTGTTTCATATCGTTAGAAATCTCCAATCTCCCCATGGAAGTAGCCTATCATATGGCTCACGCGCCCTCACGATTCACACCAATTCTCTTTCTATTTGTCCCATCTCAAAGGTTTTCGTTTACTGTGTCACTAACCTTCTTGTTCAGTAGATTTACGGTTAACCAGCATGTAGAAGAGAATTCCGAATGCTTAGTATGTTCTTCTCATTTCCATTGTTGTTTCGACATACTCCAATGAGTGCAACCGTTCTGAACGGTTTTTGGAGGAATGCAACCTTTCGGTGCGTTTGAGATCAGACCTGGACTTATCCAGGTCTCATCCCTTGCTTCGCGAACCAATGAGCTTTCTCCTCCTCTGGAGAATCTCCAGAGAGAGAGAAGTTGAGCTCACCAGCTCACACCGCCAACTGACGTGATTCAGGAGCTCCACGGCTTATATACCCTGGCGGAAACGCGTCACGTGGAAATAATAAATTAAATTTTTCTTGGGTTGTTTCATATCAGAATTTGATTTCGAATTCAATTATACAGTTCATTTTCTGTGTAGAGCAATCCTTCGTAATGTTATTCTTCTTATTCTATCATACGCTTACATGAGCTCACTCCCTCTCTTCCTAAGTTTTCATCGATATTTCCTACTTTGCTTTTATTCTCAGATTATCGATTGATTCCTTGTCTGAGTCCAGCCAAGACTGTTTCTATGGCTGACCATCCTCCTCTCAGCTCTTCACAAATAAAATCTTCTAGTTTTCGCTTCGTTTTCCTTGTGTCAGGAGCTGCAGTCCCTGGAGCTGGTGCGACTTCATTTTTTCTAATCTACACCCATCTGATTAGTCAAATGTAGTTTGACAACCGTTTCCGCTACGGTGGTCGTCTGCTAACTATCCTATGTGGTGGAAAAGAATGATTCAACCAATAAGTTTATGTCAATCACTAACGTTCAGTAGTCTAGGGGAACAGCTAGCTGACGCTTTATCGTCTTCAATAGTACTTGACGTTTAAATAAAAATATTGAGATCTAAACAGTTCCATCGATCGTATTTTTTCACACACATTTCACTCATCTCTGGTTTCTGAATTGTTACTCCGTCCATTGTTTTCACACGATTGTATTGTGGAGATGTAGCAGTACGCTCCAACACTCGGATGTTGCGAACAAATACAAGTTATTGTTTTCGTTTATACATGAACGGCCAAATCATTCTCGACAGCTCGTCCCCCCCCCTTGCCCCACTAACAAGTAGAC